ATCTTTTCTATGTTTAGATACACAAACAGTTAACAGTATATTACAAGGCCGGGCACTGTAATCCCAGCACTTTGGGAGGCCAAGCCAGGCAGATCACCTGTAGCAGGAGAATTGCTTGAACCCAGGAGGCAGAGGTTGCAGTGAACTGAGATCACACCACTGCAATACAGCCTCAGTGACAGTCAGACCCTGCCTCAAAAAAAAAAAAAAAAAAAAAATCACACATTTCCAAGTTAGAGGTCACCAATCTCCATTTGTTGAAACTCCTTAAATGTTTCCCTCTACAGAACCTGGAAGAGCAAGGCTAAAACTGATCTCAGCAGAACCTGTAACCAAAAACTTTAATGCATACTGCTTAAGTCAGAAAAATTCGAGGCCAGGTACAGTGGCTCACACCTGTAATCCCAGCACTTTGGGAGGCCAAGATGGGTGGATGACCTGAGGTGAGGAGTTCAAGACCAGCCTGGCCAACATGGTGAAACCCCATCTGTACTAAAAATACAAACATTAGCTGGGCGTGGTAGCACGTGCCTGTAGTCTCAGCTACTTGGGAGGTTGAGGCACAAGAAGCACCTGAACCTGGGAGGCGGAGGCTGCAGTGAGCTGAGATCACGCTGCTGCACTCCAGCATGGGTGACAGAACGAGACTCTGCCTCAAAAAAGAAAAAGAAAAATTTGAGACCTAAATATCTATGTAAATCTAGATTCAAATGCTAAAACAACTCTCCAATATGCACCAATTGAGAAAACAGGAAAGCCTTTAACATAATGTCCTATATTTAGGTCTTTAGAAGGATTTCATAAATCCTGTACCAATGTTTACCGAGAGTTCCAATTTATGAAAAGGAAAGTTGACCCTCTCAATGTAAAATCCTCTCAATCTAGATGCTAAACAATCACATGACTCAAGCAGTCGTTAAGTCAACTGTTTGCACTTTCAATTTTTGTTAAAGTGAGGCCAAGGGCTTCCCTATATGAAACCCATTTCCAAAAGATTTCTCACTACAAATGCACTGGATTTTCCACATTCTTACCTTTACTGTTATAATACTTCACTACTAAAAAGATCAGCAAAGGCTACTGTGCCAAGTCCACTCTCTGGGGTTGTGATGTGGGGTTACTTTGTGGTAACTAGTGAGGGAGGCTGAGTGTGTGGCTGTATACTTACTCTCTAGATAGTTGACTTTGCTTCTACCAGTGGAAGAAGTTTATACCAGTTACTTCATCCCATCTACAGTCGTAAAGACAGAACCTGGTCAGGCTCAGTGGCTCACACATGTAATCTCAGCACTTTCGGAGGCTGAGGTGGCTGGATCACCTGAGGTCAGGAGTTTGAGACCAGCCTGGCCGACATGGTGAAATCCCGTCTCTACTAAAAATAAAAAAAATTAGCCAAGTGTGATGGTGGGCACCTGTAATTCCAGTTACTTGGGAAGCCGAGGTAGGAGAATTGCTTGAATCTGGGAGGTGGAGGTTGAAGTGAGCCGAGATAGCACCATTGCACTTCGGACTGGGCAAAATGAGCATCTCAAAGAAAAAAAAAAAAAAGAACATGAAGAGCAAACTCTAACCTGATGAGTTAAAAGGGAATAGTGTAAGGAAAATTTCTGGTTCCAGTTAGATCCGGCCTCTTTGTATCAAATTTATCAAAAATACTAATATGAGATTTTTTTTTTCTAATAACAGAAATCTATTACCTCATTTCATTTCCTAATTTTATTTTTATCTTTTTGACACAGACTCACTCTGTTCCCCTGGCTGGAATGCAGTGGCCCAATCTTGGCTCACTGCAACCTCCGCCTCCTCAGTTCAAGCAATTCTCCTCCTGAATAGCTGCAATTTCAGGTGCCCGCCACCACGCTCAGCTAATTTTTGTAGAGCCAGAGTTTCACCACATTGGTCAAGCTGGTTTTGAACTCCTGACCAAGGTGATCCACCCACCATGGCCTCCCAAACTGCTGGGATTACAGGCGTGAACCACCTCATCCGGCCTCATTTCCTAACTGAAAGCAAGATTATATTGTACTGCATCCATTTGCCGTTCTTACAAAGTACATGCACAACATTTTTCAAATATTTTGGTAAACTTCCTTCCTCAAACTATAGTTCTGGTGATCAAGCATCAACAAGGAAAATAATACTAAGTTTTCACTTTGAGTAATCTGCTTCACCTACCACAAACAACATCCTTTATATTCTTCCAAGCTGAAATATCACTCAATGTGTGAACTCCATTATGAAGAAAATTTAAATGACCAGTAAACTAGAAAATACTAAGAAAACAAAATCTTGCTTTAGCCATTTTCAAACTCCCAAATTCTAACATTAACATCCTCTAATAAAGATACTATGCTGGCCAGGTGGGGTGGCTCACACCTGTAATCCCAGCACTTTGGGAGGCCAAGGAGGGCTGATCACTGAGGTCGGTAGTTCGAAATTAGCCTGACCAACATGGAGAAACCCCGTCTCTACTAAAAATACGAAATTAGCCGGACATAGTGGCGCATGCCTGTAATCCCAGCCACTCAGGAGGCGGAGGCAGGAGAATTGTTTGAACCAGGGAGGTGGAGGTTGCAGTGACCTGAGATCACACCATTGCACCCCAGCCTGGGCAATAAGAGCAAAACTCCGTCTCAAAAAAAAAAAAAGATACAATACTATGCTTTCTAAGGAAATACTTATTTTCTTCTGAGGTTGGTTTGACCTATACTAGTGACAAAATTTTTCATCACATTACTGCCTAGAATGGAAGCTAAAGAGGCTGTCTAATATCCAGAGAAGTGATTTGACCAACATCACATACTTAGTCACAGGCAAAACTAGAACCTACTTCACTCCTGACCACCAGGCCACTCCTTCACCACAGACCATGATGAAACAAGGTCACAATTAACTGACCAGAGAAAACTCTAAAGAGCCTGACCTGTAGTACTGTATCAATACTAAATTTCCTAATTTGGACAATTGTGCTCTGGTTATATAAGAATGTCTTTGTGCTTAGAAAATCCATGTTGAGCTGGGTGCAGTGGCTCATGCCTGTAATCCCAGCACTTTCAGAGGCAGAGGCAGGCGGATCATGAGGTCAGGAGTTCGAGACCAACCTGACCAACATGGTGAAACCCTCTCTCTATACTAAAAACACAAAAATTAGCTGGGTGTGCTATAATCCCAGCTACTCAGGAGGCTGAGGCAGAAGAATTGCTTGAACCTGGGAGGTGGAGGTTGCAGTGAGCCAAGATTGTGCCACTGCACTCCAGCCTGGGTGACAGAGTGAGACTCCGTCTCAGGAAAAAATAAAAAGGAAAGAAAATCCATGTCGAAGTGTTTAGGGATAAAGGGGTTTGATATTTCCAACTCTAAGGGTTGGGGGCCAGGAGCGGTGGCTCACGCCTGTAATCCCAGCACTTTGGGAGGCCGAGGGGGGTGGATCACGAGGTCAAGAGATCGAGACCATCCTGGTCAACATGGTGAAACCCCGTCTCTACTAAAAATACAAAAAATTAGCTGGGCACGGTGGCGCATGCCTGTAATCGCAGCTACTCAGGAGGCAGGAGAATTGCCTGAACCCAGGAGTCGGAGGTTGTGGTGAGCCGAGATTGCGCCATTGCACTCCAACCTGGGTAAAAAGAGCAAACCTCCGTCTCAAAAAAAAAAAAAAAAAAAAAGGGTTGGGGGGAGGCACACAGTATATATAAATATTTACATGCAGTAATGAAGCAAATGCAGAAAATGTAACCAGTTATTGAATCATATGGCAGTTCTCTGAAACACTTGCAAATTTCTATGTTTGTAATTACATAAAAATGCTACATGAGTGAATAAACTGCCTGATGTCACAAAATTGGCATTTTACTCTTAACAAGACAGGACTTGGCCAGGTACAGTGGCTCATGCCTGTAATCCCAGCACTTTGGAAGGCTGAGGAGGGTGGATCACCTGAGGTCAGGAGTTCAAGACCAGCCTGGCCAATGAGGTGAAACCCATCTCTACTAAAAATACAAAAATTAGCAGGCCATGGTGGCGGACACCTGTAATCCCAGCTATTCAGGAGGCTGAGGCAGGAGAATCGCTTGAATCCAGTAGGCGATAGTTTCAGTAAGCCAAGATCATGCCACTGCACTCCAGCCTGGGCGACAGAGGGAGACTGTCTCAAAAAAAAACCAGACCAGACTCATGTCAAGGTTATACTTCCCAAAGAGAAATTATGCCAAATTTGGGGACAAACTGCAAAGAAATGCTATCACAACCTTCATTTTCTTTAAATGAGGATATATGATCTCCATCCTCATATTCTGGGAAGAGGTCCTAATCTGTGCATAAGCACTAAACGTTTCATGCAAGCCAGCTTCAAATTACTACTCCAGGACTCCACAACTCCAGCTACTACCATACCTTTAAATGTTACTTCCTCTTCTAAACTGATTCAAGTGACCAGACCAGGACAGAAATCTATCTACTAAATGAGTAACACTGACTCAAACTATTTGCCCAGCTAACAATTCCCTCCTCAAGACCACCTTGCCACATACTGCAAGCAGATCCAGAGCCAGTTACATAACACTTTTTCACAGCCCCAGTGGGAAAAAACTGGGGGTGGGGGGGGGATACCACTATAGCTCAGTCCAAACTAGTGTTACCTCAGATAATCAAATTCACAAATGAAAAGACACGTTCCAAAAGACACCAGGGGGGGGAAAAAAAAAAGCAAAAGAAACAGCTGGAGAAGGTAGAAAAAAACCCAAGATCTCAAAAAAACAAGATGTGTTACTAAGTAACAAAATCAAGTCTGACAAAACCAGGGGCCACCGATTTAAACCAAACATCAGCAAGCCTTCATGGGGAAGGGGGCTGAGGGTAAAACGAATTTAATCTAAGCTAGTTTTGGCTCCAAGGAGCTGCAAGTCCACAGGCGTGCGGTGAGGGGGCTGCCAGGGACCCCCCAGGGAAAAAGGCAAAGTGCCGTGCTTAGGTTTTGTGAAAAGATGCAGGTGTGGTGGGTCTCCAGATGACTTGCGGCAACATAGAAATGTCATGGTCAGAATTGGAATTCAAAGTGGACCAACATATTTAATAATAATTTTTTAAAAAGGATGAAAGGAAACCCAAAAATGTTCTACGATGCTTGCTTTGTTTTAACGGAAGCTCACATTCAGGTCAGGATGGGACGACCAAGTTTGTTTGTATGTGGCAAAAAGGAAGTTTTAGATGCTGCTGAGAAGTTCACTTAAGAACGTGGGCACCGATTCTGACGGAGTAAGAGAGAGCCTAGGAACAGGAAGAAAATGCAAGGGGGCTCAAAGAGGCACAACAAATAAATCCTGACAGCTAAGAACTGCAACCCACGCGGCCTGACGGCAGAAAGGTCGCAAGAAGCTGAGGGGCAGGGGATGGGCGGAGTGCCAGGGAGGAATCGAGGTCACAGCGGAGAGGGCAGAAGAGAGAGCTGCCGAAGGAGTCAGGAGAGCCGCCCCTGCAGTCCTGCGACGAGGACGGAGACGACCAGCACCTTAGAGAACCTGAGGAGCTGAAAACGCTACCTGCTGGGCCCGGGGTGGGCAGACCGGGCGTTTAAAGGTCAAGGTCAAGGTGGGGCTTGGCAAGCGATGCATAGCGCTTTAAGGAGACCTTAGACATACAAATAATAATGCCATTATTATGACTATCACAATTTTTTTTTTTTTTCAGAAGAAAAAATAAAAGGTCTCCTGGACGGCTGCGGGGTGAAGGTGGCCCTGGCAGGAACGCGTGCAAAATAGACCGGGGACTGAAGTCGAGACGGAGGGCGGGCAGAGGGACCAGTGCTGGGCCACCGGAGGGAGGGAGGGAGGGACTGAGACCCGGGCCCAGGGCCTCCGCCTCACTCACTTGCCCTCCTGGCAGTCATAGAGCACGATGGAGTCGTCGTCGCTGCTCGAGATGACCGTCTCGCCGTTGGGGCTGAAATCGAAGCAGTTAATCTTGTCCGAGTTTTCGCGGAACACCTTAGCGACGCGGAAGCTCCGCAGCACGCTGTCGGTCAGCTTCATGGCGGCGGCAGGGGAAGGCAGCGGCGGCGCAGGGCCGGGGCGGGGCCCGGCGGCGAGCGGGCGGGCTGCCGAGGGGCCAACCAGGCGGGGCCGGCGCCGCGCCGGCGGCTAGCGGGAAGTCGGCCGACAGTTGGGCCGCCTCCTCCCCTTCCTCCTGCTTGGACAACAGTCTTCTGCCTGGACTGTGGAGCCTCGCCGATCTTTGGTCCTCACAGCCACCTCAGGGGCAACTAGCGCGTAGCCGGCTCATTGTGTCCGCCATCTTGGGGCGACAGGCAGAAGCGGAGGGCGAGGAGCTTTAGCCGCGGCGCACGTCGGGAAAGGGGGCGGGGCGGGAACAGCCGCGCGAGGCGGGGAGGCGGGGCGGTGACGTCAGCGCTGCCGCGGTCGAGTGTAGTGGCTCGGCGGGCTGCTGGGAGGGAAGGGTCGGGACGTGCAGGGCCTTCCCCAGGGTGTCGGAAGGTGGCGAGTGCCTGGGAGCCGGGGGCCCTTGCGCGGGCTTGCAACATCCCCCTACGAAGGCTCGGGTGTCCCCTACAGGCGCCCCAACCGCAAGCCGCGCGGAAGGGGTGCTTTGGGGTCGGGAACGCGGCTGGAAGCCGGTTTTGGGGGTGAATCAGGTGAACCGCTCGCAGGCGGTCTTGACCGCTACTCCACCGCAGCGCCCGCTTAGACAGCTTCGACCTCTTTACTATTTTATTGGGCTGTGATATATAATAGAGTGCACAATTTTTTTTTTTCAATGAGACGGAGTCTCGCTCTGTCGCCTAGGCTGGAGTGTATTGGTCTTATCTCCGCTCACTGCAACCTCTGCCTCCGGGGTTCAAGCAATTCTCTGACCTCAGCCTCCCGAGTAGCTGGGACTACAGGCGTGTGCCACCATGCCCAGCTAATTTTTTTTTATTTTTAGTAGAGATGGGGTTTCACCATGTCAGTCAGACTGGTCTCGAACTCCTGACCTCAGGTAATCCAACAGCCTCAGCCTCCCAAAGTGCTGGGATTACAGGCATGAACCACTGCTCCCGGCTTCATAACTTTTCTTTTTGAGAAGGAGTCTCACTCTGTCCCCCAGGTGAGTGCAGTGGCAAGATCTCAGTTCACTGCAACCTCCACCTCCCAGGTACAAACGATTCTCCTGCCTCAGCCTCCTGAGTAGCTGGGACTACAGGCTCTCACCACTACACCCAGCTAATTTTTGTATTTTTAGTAGAGATGGGGTTTTGTCATATTGGCCAGGCTGGTCTCGAACTCCCGACCTAAGGTGATCTGCCAGCCTGGGCCTCCCAAAGTGCTGGAATTATAGGCATGAGCCACTGTTCCCAGCCAGAGGATACAGTTTTAAATTCGAATTTCTTCTTCTCTTCATATATATGCATATAAACCTTATAGATGCAACCCTCGCCCCTTTTAGTGTTAAATCTTACACATTTTTCCATGTTAGTAAACCGGATTGTTGTTGGTGTTCTTGTTTTTTGATATGGAGTCTCACTCTTGTCACCCAGACTGGAGTGCCATGGCATGATCTCAGCTCACTGCAACCTCTGTGCTATAGCTGGAACCTGAGCAACACCATTTTAGAAAAGACAAAGCTGTTTTTCAAAAATAAGTTGTAACGGCTGCCCCATTCTCCTCACAATGACTGCTAACCTTGGCTTCTGTAAATAAAACTGCTTACCTTTTCTTTCTTTTTTTTTTTTTTGAGATGGAGTTTCGCTCTTGTTACCCAGGCTGGAGTGCAATGACGCAATCTCGGCTCACTGCAACCTCCGCCTCCTGGGTTCAGGCAATTCTCCTGCCTCAGCCTCCTGAGTAGCTGGTTACAGGCACGCGCCACCATGCCCAGCTAATGTTGACCAGGATGGTCTCCATTACCTGCTTACCTTTTCTTATCACTGACAGCCAGAATTGCTGGCCTTTGCTTACCGGTAATGACCAGAATAAGCAGCCCAAGTTAATTCCATCCTGGCTCCTGTGACTTGTAATAGGTAACTAAGATCTGTGGATTCCACCACTGCCCAGACGATGTGTAAACCCTAGCCCTTGGAATGTCCAGAGACCTGCACCCTCCTCTCTGCCAGGGAGGTGATTTACGGAATCCCCTGGCCTTCAGAATGTCTGAATCCCTTCACCCCCACCCCGCCCCACACGCTCACCCCGGAGGTGGTTTATGGGCATAAAAGGGTCTTGTCACCCTCCTTTTGGGGCCACGGATTGGAGAGATGTGAGTCCTCTGTGGTCGCTGGCAATAAAGACCCTGCAATTTGGCATACTTTTGTCTTGGTGCTAATTTTATACTCAATCCAAATACTTCACCTCCACCACTCTAGGTTCAAGTGAGTCTCCTGCCTCAGCTCCCTGAGTAGCTAGGATTACAGGTGCTTGCCACCACGCCCAGCTTATTTTTGTATTTTTAGTAGAGATGGAGGTTTCACCATGTTGGCCAGGCTGGTCTCTGACTCCTGACCTCAGATGATCCGCCCATTGTTGTTCTTTACTGAGGTAGACTTTTAAGTACAGTTAAAAAAAAAAGCCTGTTTAGGCCAGGCAAGGTGGCTCATGCTGGTAAACCCACCACTTTGGGAGGCCGAGGAGGAATGATCACTTGAGCTCAAGGAATTTGAGACCAGCCTGGTCAACATGATGAAACTCCATTTCTACTAAAATACAACAAATTAGCTGGGCATGTTGGTGTCGCTGAGGCATGAGAAATCAGAAAGGCAGGCTGGGCATGGTGGCTCCCAGCACTTTGGGAGGCAGAGGGGGGCGGATCACGAGGTCAGGAGATTGAGATCATCCTGGCCAACATAAAACCCTGTCTCTATTAAAAATACAAAAATTAGCCAGGTGTGGTGGCGCGTGCCACTTGAACCCGGGAGGTGGAGGTTGCAATAAGCAGAGATCATGCCACTGTACTCCAGCCTGGGCGACAGAGCTGACTCTGCCTCCAAAAAAAAATCAGCCTTTTTAGTGGCTACTTTTATGTTCTGAAACCCATTTACATTCATGCAGTCATCACCACATTCAAGATATATTAGAGTTGCACTATCCTGTTTGTAGTCAACAGGATTATTTTGAAGGTTCTATCATGGAAGTGATTCTTTGCCTTAAAAGAAAGTTAATCTCCCCGGGCGCAGTGGCTCACTCATGTAATCCCAGTACTTTGGGAGGCCAAGGAGGGCGGATAACCTGAGGTCACGAGTTTGAGACTAGCCTGACCAACATGGTGAAACCCCGTCTCTACTAAAAATAAAAAAATTAGCTGGGCGTGGTGGCACATGCCTGCAATCCCAGCTACTCAGGAGGCTGAGGCAGAATTGCTTAAACCCGGGAGCCAGAGGTTGCAGTGAGCCAAGATCGCACCACTATACTCCAGCCTGGGCGACAGTGAGACTCCATCTCAAAAAGAAAAAAAAAAAGTTGAAAGAGGTCTGGAACCATGCCCACTTCAGATACTACGGAAGTTTAATTACTTCTAATTTCCTAAAATAAGGAATTTTGCCTCTGGATGGCCTGTTGGATGGTCACCAGGTGGTCTTTGCTCCCTTCTAGATTCCTCAGATAAGGGCCAGGCACTGTGGCTCACGCCTATAATCCCAGCATTCTCGGAGGCCAAGGCAGATGAATCACTTGAGGTCCGGAGTTTGAGACCAGCCTGGGCAACATGGTGAAACCCCATCTACACCAGAAAATACACAAATTAGCCAGGCATGGTGGTGTGTGCCTATAGTGCCAGCTACTCGGGAAGCTGAGGCAGGAGAATTGCTTGAACCAGGAGGCAGAGGTTGCAGTAAGCCGAGCTCACGCTCCAGCCTGGGTGACAGAATGAAACTCTGTCTCCAAAATAAATAAATAAAAATAAAAATAAAAAAATAAATATTATAAGGATGAAGTAAGCCATTTTTATTTAGAGAGAATATAAGTTGTTAGGTATGTTGCTCAAGTAAAGAGACCATCAGGGAGGCTTTGTGTGGGCAATGAGGCCATTTTATTTTGTGCTTGGGTGCAAGTGGGACAAGTTCAATAAAGGAGTTAGGCAAAGGGGGTAGGAAAGGGGACTAGTTATACAGGTTGGGGCAAATGGTCAGTTAAAGGTAGTAATCTATTTTAGAGAGAGGGAGGGTGTCACAGGATGCATGGTCACAAGGGTAGGGGTTATCCATTACAAACAGGCATGATCATAAGGGTGGGGGTTATTGGCTGCAAGAAGAGAGGGGGATGCAGTGAATTACATAGTTATGGGGGAGGGGTCTTGAGAAACCCAATGTCCAGGGGGAAATTTTGCAAGGCTGAGAAGGAACAATGGTTGCAGGTTGCAGCGGGAAAGCAATTAGTTGAGGCAGGAACAAGTTGTTTCATTTCTCTTTGTGACCATCTGGTTATTTTAGACTTTCTGGCTCCTGGGGACTATCCAGAGGTATACATGTGGGTCGCCAAGACTATAATGGCCAGACTTGGACTTGGAGGCCTGACATAGTATGCATGGAAAATCTTGTGAGATGCACATGCAATTCCTAGAAATAATAAATTTAGTTACCAATGTATGTCCACTTTTACTGGAATTCCTCAGAGAGGTCCTGAGACTCCAGGACCAGAGGGCCTGGATAAAAGGCAGACATGTTTCCCTGGCAGCAGGACCAACTACCCAATTTGTGGGGCCCCTTGTTAAAAAATTGCTAAGAATCTCAAGATGGCAACAACAGAATATTAAACCAAGTGCAGGGTCCTTCTGACTGCATGGATTGCACACCCATGAATCTGGCTCAACCCAGGACTAGGACATCCACAACACTGAGCCTCTCTACAAGCACTGGAAACATATGACGATGAAGACTCTTCAGAGGCTGAGAGTTCTGAGAGGTCAAGTAACTTTCTCAGGGTCACTTAGCCTGTAAGCAATAGAGTCTGGATTCATACTCCGCTTCTGCACTGGAAAGCCTGTGTTCTCTTTCCAGGGCTAAGGACAAGCAACCATTCACATCTAACAAAGACCACTGTTAGGAAACAATGCCTGCTTAGTCTGGAAGGAAAGGATGGAAATCTTCCCAGATAAGCCTTGACTGCTCAGAACCAGGAGGAACTGCCTAGAGTCTCAGGGCCAAGGCCCCGGCCTCTAAAACTACAGCACTGTTTCCAAAGGCTTAAAAACCTTCCCAAACAATCCAACATCCACAGCTTTAGTGGCCCCTCATTAGTGACTTGCCTAGTCATAGCTGAACTGCTTCCTGTTGCTTTGTTATACTCTCCCCAACCCCTCCTTCCAAGAAAAATAGCTTTAAGGTATTTTGTTTTTTTTATTGAGACGAAGTTTCACTGTTGCCCAGGCTAGAGTGCAATGGTGAGATCTCAGCTCACTGCAACCTCCAACCCTGGGTTCAAGCAATTCTCCCACCTCAGCCTCCTGAGTAGCTGGGATTACAGGTGCACACCACCATGCCTGGCTAGACTGGCTAATTTTTTTTTTTAGTAAAGAGGTTTCGTCAGGTTGGCCAGGTCAATCTCCTGACCTCAAGTGATTTGCCTGCCTCCAGCTCCCACCTTTAAGGTGTTTTAGAGCCCTTACATAGGAAACAACTCCACTCCACCCTGCCTCCAACACAGCTGACCCTCCCTCCCATGAAGCAACCCCGAAAGCCCAGATTGGGCCCAGTGGCTCACGCCTGTAAGTCCCAGCACTTCTGGAGACCAGGGCAGAACTGCTTGAGCCCAGGAGTCTGAGACCAGCTTGGGCAACAAACCAAGACTGTTTCTACAAAAAATTAGCCAGGCATGGTGGTGTGCACCTGTATTCCCAGCTACTGAGGTAGGAGGACTGCTAACACCAAGGAGATTGAGGCTATCGTGAGCTGTAATTACCACTGTCCTCCAGCCTGGGTGACAGTGCAAGACTTTGTCTCTAAAAAAGAAAAATTAAATTAAAATTAAAAGCACTTCTTTTTTCTCTTTTCTTTCATTTTTCTTTTTTAGAGACGGGGTTTCAACATGTTGGTCAGGCTGGTCTTGAACTCCTGACCTCAGGTGATCCACCCACCTCAGCCTCCTGAAGTGCTGGGATTACAGGTGTGAGCCACCACGCCCGGCAAAAGTACCACTTCTTTTTATTTTTATTTTTAGCAGAGATGGGGTTTCACCCTGTTGGCCAGTCTGGTCTTGAACTCCTGACCTTGTGATCCGCCCACCTTGGCCTCCCAAAGTGCTGCGATTACAGGCTAGAGTCCCCTCGCCCGGCCAAAAGTACCACTTTTTACTTCTCCCAGCAGCTACAGCATTGGCCCACACAGAAGGCACTCAGGAAATGTCTTGAATGATGTCTGAGGAAGGAATAAATACATGGATGGGTGAAGACAGCTGACTATAACCAAGGAAAATCCATACAATTTTCAGTAGTTACAACCTCCTCCACATTAAAGAGGGCAGTTCCACCTGGGGATGCCGTTGCTTTGATGATGTGGTGGGAAATCATTTGGGAGAAGGAACACAAAGTCTCATATTTTAAAAGGAAAAATCCAGGGAGGATGGGTGTGGTGGCTCACGCCTGTAATCCCAGTACTTGGGGAGACAGAGGCAGGCAGATAGCTTGAGCTCAGAAGTTTGAGACCAGCCTGGGTAACATGGCAAAACCACATCTCTACAAAAAATACAAAAAATTAGCCAGGCATGGTTGTTCACGCCTGTGGTCCCAGCTACTTTGGAAACTGAGGTGGGAGGATCACTTGAGCCTAGGAGGTGGAGGTTGCAGTGACCTCCAAGATTGCGCCACTACACTCCAACCTGGGTGGCAGAATGATATCCTGTCGAGACAGAGAGAGAGAGAGAGAGAGACCCTGTCGAGACAGAGACAGAGAGAGAGAGAGAGAGAGAGAGAGAGAGAGAGAGAGAGAGAGAGAGAGAGAGAGAACACCAGTGAGAGACTTGGAAGTGGGGGCCGGAGGAGGGGAAAAGTTCATGACAAGAGCACGGCATAGTTTAGAGAACTATGGAGAGATGTAGCAACTGCCAAAGGGAGCAGGTAGGGAGTGTGAAAAGAAAAGGAAATTTCAGGACATGCTAAATTAATAATGTGAAGGAGAAAAGTTAAGCCCTGGAAACTGAGCAGGCATAGCCTTTTCTTTCTTTTCTTCTCTGATGCATGACTGTTGCTTCCTGACCTTTGGGTTGAAATGTTATACATTAACCAGACTCCCTATTCTTCATTCAAACTTAGACTAGATGATGTGGGAGATAGAGACCTTTGTGATTGTTACCTCTTTACAATAGAATGTTAAGCAACATCTTTCAAGTATAATCAATAGTAGCCAGTCAAATCTTGTATTTATGTTAGCCTTTTTTGGAAAATGTTGTAATTTCAGCACCTTATTTTTGCCTATATAAACAATCTTCAGCTTTCCCCACACTGGGGAGCACTAATTGTCTGTTTACCCAAATGGCTGCTCTCACACTTTATGCTTTAATAAATTCTTTTAACTGGATCTCAAACCTTTTGATGATTTTTAGGTTGATGATAGAAATGTGTTTTTGGGCCAAGTGCAGTGGCTCATGCCAGCAATCCCAGTACTTTGGGAGGCTGAGGCAGGTGGGATCATTTGAGGTCAGGAGTTTGAGACCAGCCTGACCAACATGGTGAAACCCTGTCTGTACTAAAAATACAAAAATTAGCTGGGCATGGGCTGGCTGCAGTGGCTCACCCCTGTAATCCCAGCACTTTGGGAAACCGAGGAGGGTGGATCACCTGAGGTCAGTAATTTGAGACTAGCCTGGCCAACATGGCGAAACCCCATCTCTACTAAAAATTAGCCAGACATGGTGGCATGTGCCTGTAATCCCAGCTACTGGGGGGCTGAGGCAGGAGGATCGCTTGAATCTGGGAGGTGGAGGTTGCAGTGAGCCGAGATCACGCCACTGCACTCCAGCCTGGGCAACAGAGCAAGACTCTGTCTCAAAAAAAAAAAAATTAGCTGGGCATGGTGGCAGGCACTTTTAGTCCCAGCTATTCTGGAGCCTGAGGCATAAGAATCACTTGAACTTGGGAGGTGGAGGTTGCAGTGAGAGAGAGAGGAGAGAGAGAGAGAGAGAGGGAGAGAGAGACAGAGAGAGAGAGAGAGAGAGAGACAGAGAGAGACAGAGAGAGACAGAGAGAGAGAAAAGAAAGAAAGAAGTGTGTTTTTGTATTGTTGCTTTTTTTTTTTGAGACAGGGGCCCAGGCTGTGGCACAATCAAGGTTCACTGCAGCCTCTACCTCCCAGGCTCAGGTGATCTTCCCACCTCAGCCTCCCTAGTAGATGGGACTACAGGAGCATGCCACCACACCTGGCTAATTTTTTTTTTTTTCGTAGAGATAAGAGTTTCGCCATGTTGCCAGGCTGGTCTCGGACTCCTAGGTTCAAATGATCCACCCACCTTGGCCTCCCAAGTGTTGGGATTATAGACTTGAAACACTGCACCCTGCCGAGAAACGTTTTAATAAAATTGTTAGAAAATCAAGTGTGTGATTTGTGACGCAACTCTCCCTTCTACCTCCCTAAGAAAACATCAGTAAAAAACAGTGAACTGTTCTGTGGTTTTGGAGCCTGATCAGGACTCGTCTAATGAATATGGGAAGGCATCAAGCCAGCTCAGGGTGGGCCCAGGAAGAGAGCAGGGACAGCGAGGAAGGACCAGAGTCATTCGCGTTTACATGCAGCTTTTATGCTTGAGGATCACGGAACAGAACTCTTGCTAAGCCAGAGCTGTATTTGGTGGCCCATGGTGAGAGAGGGAAGAACACTAGTAAGTTGTGGAATTAAAGCCATGAAGAGAAGCGGGAATGACTTAATTTGGCTCCAGAAGCGGTGAGTCGTGGGGAAGTAGTGACTCTCAGTTCGTTTGCTCAGCCCAGTGCCTGACACCTAACAGCAGCTCAGAGTGCATCTGCTGACTGATCACACAGAATAAAGGAAGGGAGAGGCCGGGCGCGGTGGCTCAAATCTATAATCTCAGCACTTTGGGAGGCTGAGGTGGGTAGATCGCTTGAGTTTTGGCGTTCGAGATCAGCCTGGCCAACAAGGCGAAAGCCCGTCTCTACTAAAATACACAAAAATTAGCCGGTCGTAGGGGCGCAGCCTATTCGGGAGGCTGAGGCATGAGAATCGCTTGAACACAGGAGGCGGAGGTTGCAGTAAGCCGAGACCGCGCCACTGCACTCCAGCCTGGGCGACAGTGTGAGATCCCGTCTAAAAAAACACAAACTGCAATCGGTGAGGCGGGGATCATTATGCCTAATGGAGAGATGAAGACAGTGAGGCCTGAAGGTGACTCCTTCCAGGTCTATTGGTGGCCAGAGAGGAGCCAATACCCTAAATGCTCCTTTCCCAGACACCGGCTTCAGCAAGAGCTCGCACCCGCCAGCCCCACTCCACCCACCCACACTTCCGGCTTCCGCTCCGCGTACCCGCGAGTACTTCCGGCTTCCAGCGCCGGGCGCTGCGGCCCGGAGCTGTTGGGTGGTAAGTCTGCGCCGCGAGGGCTCACAGGGCCTTTAGAATCAATCCCGGGGCTGGGCGACGACAGCTCCCGGTAGCAGCAGGCCCTTCTTTCTCGCATCACCAGGCATTACGGGACAGCCAATTCCCTCGCGAAGGCCCGACCTAGGGATGACGTCATTTCCGTCCCTTGCTGGTTGGGTGAACCGGAAATGGCGCCAGCCCCCTTTCGTGATAGGGTGGAGTCAAAGCCGGTAGTATTGTTATTTCCTTGTTTTGCTCTGGAACCGCCTGGAGTTTTGGAGAGACCATGTCTTCGATGGAATTGTAGAACTTTGCAAATGAAAATGCATAGCGGCCAGTTAATTTGTTTTTTAATTTTGAGACAGTTACCCAGGCTGGAGTGCAGTGGCGCAATCTCGGCTCATTGCAACCTCCCTGCATTCTAGTGCTTCAGCCTCCCGAGCAGTTGGAATTACAGGCTCCCACCACCACACCCGGCTAATTTTTGTGTTTTTAGTAGAGACGGGGTTTCACCGTGTTGGTCAGGCTGGTCTCAAACTCTAAATTTGAGTTAAGATAAACGACGAACAATTGTCATTAAGTCCTAAACATTGTGTGCGACATATTTTTTTTTTAATTACTTGTTGGCTGGGCGCGGTGGTTCACGCCTGTAATCCCAGCACTTTGGGAGGCCGAGGCGTGTGGATCACGAGGTCAGGAGTTCAAGACCAACCTGACCAAGATGGTGAAACCCCATATCTTAAAACAAAAAAAAAATTTATGTCTTTAAAAATAAAAAAAAAATTGTTTACCGGGAGGCAGAGGTTGCAGTGAGCTGAAATCGCACCATCATGCTCCAGCCTGGTCAACAGAGGGAGACTCCCTCTCAAAAAAAATTGTTTATCTGAAATTCAGATTTAACCAGACGTCCTGTATTTTCTCTGGCAGCCTTAGCATTGAGCGTTCCCTGCCTTGTGCTCATATCCAGTGGCAAGGCTGGGATCTTCCAGGCTCTTGTCCATCTGGGAAATAGATACAAAACTATAAGGACCTTAGTTGCTAGGATGCTTTTTTTTTTTGAGACGAAGTTTCGCTGTTGTTACCCAGACTGGAGTGCAATGGCACGATCTCGGCTCACTGCAGCCTCTGCCTTCTGGGTTCAAGCAATTCTGCCTCAGCCTCTCGAGTAGCTGGGACTACAGGTGCACACCACCATGCCCAGCTAATTTTTTGTATTTTTAGTAGAGACAGGGTTTCATCATGTTGACCAGGATGGTCTCGATCTCTTGACCTCATGATCCACCCGCCTTGGCCTCCCAAAGTGCTGGGATTACAGGCTTGAGCCACCGCGCCCGGCCCACTAGGATGCTTTTAGCTCCAAGCCTAATGGGCAAGCCCCATGGGTCCCCCTGGCAAAAACTGTACCCATTTTCAGAATCCCCATGACCATGCCCTCTGTGTTCCCTTTCACAACAGAAGTCCGGCACAGCTGTCTTCTCCTGTGGGAGAGCTGAGAACTAGGCAGGCAGAATGGCCAGAGTCTAGAAGTAACCACCTTCTTTGGGTGTGGGGTAAACTGGTGTTTGAGATCGTCTCTGTTACAGTGGACAGTATCAGAGAACCTGAGGGTGTCAAGGGGAAAGCTTAGTGTTAATCTCACCTCATGTCCCATTTTGCAGATGAGACCCAATGAGAGCAATGGAGGTGTCCCAGCCACTCAGCAAACGTGTAGTAGAGCTGAAACCTCAATTCCCAGCATCCTTACCCTGCTCAATCCTTACTTGCTGATGAAGTCAGCTTGCAGCATTTATGGTAGGCATTTATTAAAGTAGGTGCAATAGTACATCTGTGGTAGAGATGGGCTCTTTGGGTCTTTGTTGTCCCTACACCTCTCTGCAGATTCCTGACCTTCAGTCCAAGGCTTCTTTAGCTTTTACTCTGCCCAGTGGGGAAAATGGCTTTTTGGGCTCAGCTTTGGGAGCTTGGCCTTTGCCTACTTCAGCCCCTGGGCTCTCACCACTGTGGGTGGTGTGGCTTAGGACTTGTTTTTGTTGTCTTGGAACCAGAAGGGGTGTTCATGGCAGAGTTGGGTCTGGCCAGCTATGTGGGTAGAAGGGCATCCTTCTCTGTCCTGCAATTGGGCTCATGGCACATGGCCTCACATGGTGCCTGGGCACTTTCCTAAGGTTCCACCATGAGCCAGACTGTTCCAATTCCTGATTTAAACCTAAATTTCTTGCTAAACTGGTCCTGAATACTGGGATTCCTCAGATTGCATGCCCTGAGGATGTTCTGTGGGCTTGATCTGATAAACCTTTAGCCTCCTGTAGCCTCTGACTTCCTAGGCTCCTAATCCCAGTCTCATGAGATAATGAAATAGAATAGGCTGGAGGTCAGTGGGCTCAGGGTCAGTTGGTGGGACAATCAACAGCCTCCTGGCAGCAGAGGTGGTAAAGAGGCAAGGAAGGAGTGCCAGAAAGGGGTGTTGCCCCTGGGTAAGAGCTCGGAAATGCAGGGGGTGGAAAAGGGGTGGGATGGGATCCCACTGGTAGAAATTACTCCCTCTGTCAATGATTAACTCCCAGCCAAAGGGATGGCCTAGGAGGAGGGCCCAGCTAAGAGGAACTTTGGACTTGAGTCAGGGTATCCAGAAAGCCAGCGTGTGGTCTGCAGAAGAGAAGGACGTGGCTGAGTGGCAGGGCTGGTCTCCAAGGACTGGAGTGAGATCCTGCCGCTGTGAGCTTCAAGAAATCTCCTGGGGCTATCAGATGGCTCCTTCTTGTAGCAGCAGCTGTGGGGTCCACTGGCCCTGAGCCCTGAGAGGGGTAGCTGTGGGGGATCTCCTGTCCTTTCCTTGCAAGGGCCTCAGTTGTGCTTTTTCCCTCTAGGCAGCCATGGGTCCCAGGCAGTGCTGAGAGCAGTGGGGCATGGCTGCAGCCCTGCAGGTTCTGCCCCGCTTGGCCCGAGCCCCCTTACATCCATTCCTGTGGGGGGGCCCAGTGGCCCGGCTGGCCAGCAGCATGGCCTTGGCAGAGCAGGCGCAGCAACTATTTGAGAGTGCTGTGGGTGCAGTGCTGCCGGGCCCCATGCTGCACCGGACACTGTCCTTGGACCCTGGTGGCAGACAGCTGAAGGTGCGGGACCGGAGCTTTCAGCTGAAGCAAAACCTCTACCTGGTGGGCTTTGGCAAGGCTGTGCTGGGCATGGCAGCTGCAGCTGAGGAACTACTGGGTCAGCATCTCGTGCAGGGCGTGATCAGCATTCCCAAGGGGATCCGTGCTGCCATGGAGCGAGCTGGCAAGCGGTAAGGAGCTATGGGGGGCTGCCTCCCACTGTCTGTCTGGAGGGAAACCCGGGCCCAGACCCAGGCTGGATCACGGCCTCCCCTCCCCACCCTCTTCCCTTTTCTCCTGGGTCTGGCCTGGCTCCAGGATGAGCCATGCCCCATGCCCCCCAATCTTTATCTGTACAATTGAAAGATCAGGTGGGAGGAAAGAAGCCCACCCCGTCTCTTGCGCTCTGACCTCTCCCTTCCCAGGGAAATGCTACTGAAGCCACATAGCCGTGTCCAAGTATTTGAGGGTGCAGAGGACAACCTCCCGGACCGTGATGCGCTGAGAGCTGCGTTGGCCATCCGGCAGCTGGCCGAGGGACTCACAGCTGATGACCTGCTGCTCGTACTTATCTCAGGTGTGGTACCCAAGACAGTTGGTGGGGAGTGCACCAAATATCAGGTCTTTGAGAGATCAGGTCTGAGCCCCCAGGGTTACAGGGTGAAGTTAGGAGCAAGGGAGGCAGTGAGGAGCCTGGATGGTGACTCCTGGGTTGCCTTGGGCCAGTCATCTGGCCTCCCCTGAGCTGTGGAGTCCTCCCCCTGAGCTGACCTTTTAGGTGACAGTGAGAGGGTGCATGGGGAGCACCTAATTCAGGACCTGGCACATCCGTAGTCCTTGGAAAATGTCACTGCTGTTGCTGCTGTCTGTACTAATGTCACCTGGGGGCTAGGCCCTCAGACCTCATGGAGTCCTCTCCTTGATCTTCCATTGTGTCCCCTCTGCCCTGCCTCCTGTTCCAGTCTCTTCAGGAATAGTTAGTTCTTCCAGTGTCTACTGAGACCTGGGGAACCCCAAGTCAGCGGACAACCTCAGGTGGCCAGGATGTGGTGACTGTGCACATATTGCATGTCCACACGGGGGCACCCTAACCCCATCTTTCCAGCCCCCCTTCCCTAATGTGGGCTTGTCACCACAGCTTGCCTGGTTCCCTGAGTTGGGATAGCCCCTCTGCCTCATCCCTCATTGTCTCTGCAGGTGGGGGGTCAGCCTTGCTGCCTGCCCCCATCCCACCTGTCACACTGGAGGAGAAACAGACACTCACCAAACTTCTGGCGGCCCGTGGAGCCACCATCCAGGAGTTGAACACCATTCGGAAGACCCTGTCCCAGCTCAAGGGTGGGGGGCTGGCTCAAGCCGCCTACCCTGCCCAGGTTTGAATCACTTCTTCCCCGGGTAGCCCTGGGTTGGTAGAGCCAGGTCCACATGTGACAGGGACGTGAAAGCTTAGAACAGCATACAAATTGGTGGGGCCATGGTGTAAAAGACGATGGGGCTGGCTGGGTGACATCATGGGAGGGGTGCCAGAGATGGGGAGGAGGAGCCTACATAACCAGGTATTCTACAAGCTCACGTGAGAGGGGTTAACCATGGGTAAGGAAATGCACTGAGTTGGGGGAGGGTGTGTGGATATCCAAGGGGCAATTTATCCTTATGGGGTCTAGGGATAGGAGGAAATAGGCCTGATCCTTGCCTGGTGGCCCTTCCCCAGGTCGTGAGCCTCATCCTGTCCGATGTGGTGGGGGACCCTGTGGAGGTGATCGCCAGTGGCCCCACTGTGGCTAGTTCCCACAGTGTGCAAGATTGCCTGCATATCCTCAACCGCTATGGCCTCCGTGCAGCCCTGCCACGTTCCGTGAAGACTGTGCTGTCTCGGGCCGACTCTGACCCCCATGGGCCACACACCTGTGGCCATGTCCTGAATGTGATCATTGGCTCTAATGTGCTGGCACTGGCTGAGGCCCAGCAGCAGGCCGAGGCACTGGGCTACCAGGCTGTGGTGCTTAGTGCAGCCATGCAGGGTGATGTGAAAAGTGTGGCCCAGTTCTACGGGCTGCTGGCCCATGTGGCTAGAACCCGCCTCACCCCATTCATGGCTGGGGATTCTGTAGAGGAAGATGCACAGCTCCATGAGTTGGCAGCTGAGCTTCAGATCCCAGACCTGCAGCTGGAGGAGGCTCTGGAGAGCATGGCTCGGGGAAGGGGCCCAGTCTGCCTGCTGGCGGGTGGCGAGCCCACAGTGCAGCTACAGGGCTCAGGCAAGGGTGGCCGGAACCAGGAGCTGGCCCTGCGTGTTGGAGCGGAGTTCAGAAGGTGGCCACTGGGGCCTATAGATGTGCTGTTTCTGAGTGGTGGCACCGATGGGCAGGATGGGCCCACAGAGGCTGCTGGGGCCTGGGTCACACCTGAGCTTGCCAGCGAGGCTGCAGCTGAGGGCCTAGACATGGCCACCTTCCTAGCCCACAATGACTCACATACCTTCTTCTGCCGTCTCCAGGGCGGGGTGCACCTGCTGCACACAGGGATGACAGGTACCAATGTCATGGACACCCACCTCTTGTTCCTGAGGCCTTGGTGATGGCATAGGTCACATTTTGGGAGTTCAGAGGAGGCATCCAAGGGCAAGGTCAGATGGCAGACCAAGGTTGCTCCTCAGGGCCTCACTAGGCTTTAGGGCCCCTCCTTGGCCTTGGCTGCTTGGTTGGCTGTCACCTCTCACTCAGGGCCTCTGCTCTATGTCCATTCCCCTCCAGCCAGAGGCTCCCCTCTACCCCTACTTTCTGGATGGCAGCAGGTACCCCTGAGGATGAGGAGAAGGCCCTCACCCAGTTCACTGTTTCCATGCTTCTCTCTAGGCAGCCTCTCTGTTAAGCCCCTCACCCTGTTTTTTTCTGTGAAGCGAAAATGTCTGAAAATAAATAGGACTATGCCATGGGTTCTCAGTGTGCCTTCCCTCAGAGTGAGGCCTCATGGAGGAGCTGCTGGGAGGGGAGCGTAGTGTGGCTGCAGCCGCAGTCCCAGGGCCTAGCAGAACTCTTACACCCCTCTGCTGGGCTGGGAATATACAGGACTTGCCTCACATCACAGGAGCCTGTGCCTATCTCTCTGGAGCATATGAGGGTTGAGCCTGGCTCCTGACAGCTTTGATGTGTGTGAGCAGAGACCCCGGGGAGGACAGGCCTAAGGACTGCAGTCTGGGGTGACTGGCCACCCACCCAACCATGACTCTGTAGTGGCACCATTACCATGGCCTCTCCGGCCTCAGCCTGGCCTCGTTGGATGGACGTCCCTTCTGTCTTTGGACAGCCCTTAGCTACAGACTTTACTTCTGGTTGAGCCGAAGTTTGTCCCGCCACCCAGTGCTGATTCCTTGTGACAGCCCTTGTCCTAGGCTGAACATCCCCGGTTCCTTCAGCCACTCCTCTGGGGACCAAGTCCAGACTCTGATGTCAGTCAGCCCTTTAGTGGGGGGTCTCAGCGCTGGAATGGTGGGTCCTGGTAGTGACGAGGTCCAGCGGCCCACACCCTTTCCCGTGACCACTGGCGGGTGAAGAGGTGAGTGGGAGTAGAGGAACGGCTGCCTTGGCCTGGCCAGCAGCCTGGGTTGAGAGGCACCCTTGCTTAGTGTCAGAGCCCTCTGCTGGGTGTCCCCGCCGTGCGCCACGGCTCCAATCCCTATATGAGTTAGCAGTAGAATCACATAGGAATAAAAAGCCATAGAGAACAGCGAGGCCTGGGGCTGCTCTTGCAGGCCTTTCTTCCACCCTAGCCCTCCCCTTGTCTCTCAACTCTTTCCCCTGGAAGAGTTTCCCTTCCCCACCTGGGCTCTGGACAGCCTAGCTTGCAGATGGTTCATGACCTGGGGACCTGGCTCACGCAGGGCAGGCTGAGGATTGGGAGGGAGGTGAACATGGTAAGCGGGCTCTGGGGAGCAGGGAGGTTTAGGGAAAAGGGGAGTTTGCACCCTACTGGGATGCATGGGCACTGCTTCCTTTCCTTCTATGCTGGCGTGGAGTTCCTGCTGACCAGGGTCACAGTCTTGGGTTACGGTGATCCTCACGTGATCCTGTAACCTGGTGCTCCTCTGGCAGCCTCTGCACGTAGCCTGTTTCTGCCTCGGTCCTTGCTTTTGGGAGCATGAGTATTGGCACTGCATACAAAGTTCCAGGCAAAAGCAGGATAAGAGAGCTGGGGCAGGGGCTGAGGGCCTGGCGGCCATGTCCCGTGTGTGTGTGTGTGGTGTGTAGCGTGTGTGTAGCATGTGTGTGTGGTGTGTGTGTGTGGGGTGTGTGTGCTATGTGGCATGTATGTGTGGCATGTGTGTTGTGTGTGTGTGGTGTGGCATGTGTGTGGTGTATGTCGCATGTGTGTGGTGTGTGGTGTGGCGTGTGTGTGGTGTATGTCGCATGTGTGTGGCGTGTGTGTGGTGTGTGGTGGCATGTGTGGTGTGTGTATGTAGTGTGTGTGTGGTGTGTGTGTGTGGCATGTGGTGTGTGTGTGGCATGTGTGGTGTGTGTGTGGTGTGGGTGTATGTGGTTGTGTGGTATGTGTGGTGTATGTGTATGTGGTGTGTGTGTGTGTGGCATGTGTGTGTGTGGTGTGTGTGTGTATGTGTGGTGTGTGTGTATGTGGCGTGTGTGTGTTTATGTGTGGTGTGCGTGTGTGGTGTGTGTATGTGGTGTGTCTGTGGTGTGTGTGTGTGGGTGGGTAGTGGGTATGTGAGCACACAGACGTTGGTGCTGGTGTACCGAGAGTGGGAATGCATCTGTGAGTGTACATATAGATACTTAGTACAGGGCACATGGCTCTCTACATGCCTGCTGAGGGCTTTGGGTATTGATGGACTCTTGCAGGCATTTCACCCTGCTCCACAGTGACCCCTTCCCTCTACTTCTGTTTATAGGGGTGGGAGGCCAGGGCCTTGATTGGACCCAATAGGGCCAAATAGTTTGCGAGCCTAACCGGTTAGATTTGCTCACTGGCTACCCCAGAGATGATAAAAGATGTATTTGGCAACAGTCTAGATGATGAAATGAGATAAACTCTGCACAGTGAGTGTTTCGATAGGACTCATTATTTTCTCCATAGATGTCAATTTTGGATCGTTAAAGTGCCCCTTCCTTGCTCTTGGCTTCTGTCTCTTCTGGCTGCCGCCTCCCTTATACTTACCTCATCTTCATCCTCTAAAGCTTCCCCTGGCCCAGCTGGAGGATTTACCATGGAGGGTGTCTGGCCCTGCTGGCTGCAGCAGCCCTCACAGACCCGTCCATTCTCTGCACTTGGCATGAGCAGAGAGCACTGGGGCAGTGGGCCTGGGCAGCCCTGAAGTGTCAGCTAATCCCAACCGTTTTGACTATAATAATTGGAGATACAGAGAGCAAAGGTGACTTATTTGGGACTGCACGGCAAGTTGGCCACCGAACCAGGATAAGAATCTAATTGAAACCTGCTTGACTATCCTCTGCCACTCTCTGGGGCTCAGAGACCCTGGGGCCAAGCAAGGGCTCAGCCAGAGCCAGGGGATCTACTTCTGCCTCCCCATTACCCCTCAAGGGCTTGAGATGGCGACATACCATGCTTGGCCTCTCTAGGGATCCATATAGCAGATTTGTTAGATTCTTCTTGGCTCAGAGGGACAGCTCCATTGTGTGTGTGATTTGGCAGAAAACCATGTGCAGTTGAGTGGTGGGCTTCTACATAAAGGTGTGTCTGCATCTTTTGCACACTGCGTGTGTGTGCACGTGTGCGCACATGGATACATGTATAGGCATGTGTATGTATAGTGCAGCCCACAACTGTGAGCTGTGCTCTGCCCCATCCCAGGGTGAAGACACACAGGTGTAGTTAGAGTGTAGGGGATACAGGGAGCAAGGTGGGCAAGGAAGCCCAAAAGACTGACAGAGGCTAGTGTGCCTGGTCAAGAGAGTTGACTTCACGTTGATGGCAATGGCAAACCTCATAAAGATTTTGGCAAGGAATAATATCATGAAGCTGTTTTGGGACTTTGATGCTGAGTGCCTCCTTACTACAGAGGGTGAAAGATGAGGGCATGCAAGGAGATGGAAGGGATTGCAGGTAGGAGAGGTGAATTACCAAGCTCTCCTACCTCTGCTGTGCAGCCTCAGCTCCAAAGCCTTTAGCCAGCCCAGGGAACCCTTTAATGCCTGCCTTGGAACCAAGGCTGAAAGCCCTGGCTCAGATACTCCTGGGAGTCACTGAGCCCCTCTGTCTCTGGGAATGCCATCAGGGCCTTGAGGATGGGGGGGGCAGAGGCTGGACAGCTAGTGGACACTTTGGTGGGCATAGGGACCCCACTCATGTAGGATCTCATGAGGGTGGCAGTTAAGTGGCTTGAAAGGAGCACTGGAGTAGGAGTCAGGTGGTAAGTCCTTGTCCTGGCCTTCCCACCTTCCTTTCTCCAGGGCTGTTTTCTCATCAGTTTAATGGGAGCAGCATCCTTGCCCTATTGCCTCTTTAGGGAGGTATCAGTGGCAGGTGGATCTGTGCGGAAAAACTCTGTGCAAGTGGGGACCTCAGGGAGGAGAGAAAGAAGGGAGAGGTATTGGCCTCTTCCAAGGAGAATCTCAGAAGCTCTTGGCTCAGGGAGGCCCTCTTCCTTCATGGCAGGACCAGAGTTAGAGCCAGTAGGAGCTTGGTGCTCACTGGCTGAGGCTGAGTGAGTGACCTGCTGGCCTCTGGCACTAGACAGGCACCAGCAGGGAATGGTATTTGAGTCTTTAATGGCCAGTAGGGTATACAGTGCCCTGGGAGGTCACAGAGCTGATGGATGATTAGCTGGAGTCAGAGTGAGCTGAGCTGCCTGGAAGAGAGCCCCATGTCTCTGGAAAATGGGGAGGGCAACCTGCCTCCCTCTGGGTCCTGGTCATGTACCAGGGACATGATGAGGCCCAGGCTGCAGTGAGGGAGGACTGGTTTGACCCCAGGCCAGAATCCCTAGCTAGGTGGGAGGATTGGGATATACTAGGGGAGGAGGCGGAGGGGGTGTGCAAGGGTGGGGACACACACACCCTGGGTGATGGGGAAGCCAATGACCTAGGCAGGCTGCTGTGTGAGTGATAGGAGCATGGGGCTGTCATGAGCTGTGCCCAGGCTGGGAGGGCTTTCTCTCCAAGGCTGTGGGCCAGACCTCTCCCCAGTAACTACTAGGGCCAGATCTGAGGCTTTGCTCTCCACTTCCCCTGACTCCGGCTGGTTTGCAGTGGCTGGAGGAGGGTGGGCTGGGAGTTGACACTTCACTTGCCACCAGCTCATGTCCACGGCTCTGATTCCACCTCTCTAGACATGTTGCTCCCACCCCGGGGGTTGAGGGGAGCAGGGGTTACAGCAGGTGTAGCTGCTGCCTTGCTCAGATGAGGAGGTTCTGGCCAAGGGAAGAGGGCAAGACAGTTGGGTCCTGGAAACAAGTGCCGCATCTGCCCAGTCGTATGGGGCCACTGCCCTTAGCAGCTCTGTCTCATGGGACAACTACTCATTATGCTGTGGTCCACCACTGCCTCCTTGGGGAGCCAGGGAGCTGTAGGACCTGGCTCTGCCCCATCCAGACAGCCAGAGGCTGGACCCCAAAAATGCATTTCATTGAGAAGGTCTTCCCTGGTCCCCCACACATCTGGCCTGGCCTTTCCTTTCCTTTTCCTCCACTAGCAGCCAGCAGAACTGCTGCCCACCTCCCTGGGAAGGTGTGAGCCATATACCTCTCCTCATCTCCAGCCCTGCCCCTCTATCCCCAGCACCAGCTGAGAAGGGGGCAGGGCCCCTGGCTCTTGGCTTCTGCCCCTTCAGTTCATTCCCACTCACCTGCACAGCTTTAGAGTCTCAAGATCTCCTTGTGGCCCTCACTTGTCTGCAAAAATCACACTTGTAGCCTCACTGGAGCCAGGCCTCTGTCTCCACCTGCTCCCAGCCCCATCTACA